AACAAATAGTATTGAAACATAAATTATAACTGTTGATTAAAAAGTTGAGAAGTTAACAGAAAAAATAAAAGAAGTAGATACTTAATAAACTACATAAACTTAATTATAAAAAGAAGAGTTAATATCAAAAATAAATGATGAAATAAATGCAAAAGATTTATTAATTGTAAAATAAAATAAAAGAATGGATTAATTTATATAAAAAAATGATTAATAATTGGCATCGTTGTCGGAGTCGATAAAAGAAGAAAATACCGCTCAATTATTATAGTAGAAGAAATTAATTTAATAAGAAAATTAAAATAAATAATGATATAATAATTGGATGATAAAATTAGGAATTAACTATAAAATATGAATACGGTAGTATAGGAAAATACTAAGGATTAAAAAAACCATGAAGACCTGTTAAAACATTTGGTTCTTTAATCTAAAAATGATCTGTTAAATTTTGAAAAAAAAAATTGCTTTTTATAATAAATATTTTTTAAAAATAAATTGGATAAGATATTAAGACCTACATTACTTCGAGATGATTATTGGATTAAAATATTTTACATTTTATAAGAGAAAACAAAGAAAACAATAAAGGGTTCAGTAGAAATGTATTTAGGTAGTCGAGATGGGTTAAAGGCAGAATATTTTTGGAATAAAGTTAATAATAAAGACAATCTATTAATGGTATTTAAATCCAAAAGTGGCTCTATCTTTGGAGCATACTCTCCTTGTAAATGGGTGACTGCAAATGGATAGAATATAGCAGATAATACATTATCATCTTTTATATTTTCATAAACTCATGATTAAATATATAATTTGAAGGAGGATTATAAGGATAGAGCTATTTATTGTAATAGTAATTATGGACCATCATCTGGAAATTATAATGATATTTATATTAATGGTGATTTTACTGATGGTTATTCTGATTTAGGTTGTTAATATTAATTTGATAGAAATAATAATAAAAATTATAAAACTCATCTTTATGGATAAGAAAAGCCAGAAATTTAGGAATGTGTGATATATCAAATATAATTTAATTGAATATATTATATTTTAAGTTAGATGTTTTTATTTCTCCTTTCTTTAATCTGTATATTATTATGTAAAAAATTAAGAATTGTTCAACTATTATTTCTTAAATGCATAATTAAAATGATTCACATCACTCAGAATTGTAAAAAGATATATAAAAATAGAAATTTATTTAACCTAATGCCTAATCTTTGTAAGGTGATGATAAATTGTTTTTAATGTTAAATTAGGACGAATATATTTTATTTCAATTCTAATAACGTGATATTTATCTAAAAAATGGAAATATAAATAATAAAATATATATGATTGGCTTTTTAGTATTAAAGCAGGTTAATCAAATCAAGTTTAAATGATACATTAAAATAGAATAATTTAAATGTGATAGTATATAGAGAGAATAAAAACTGATTTATGAGTTTAGAAGACAGTAATTGAAATCAATTCAAATTAATTTAAAACTTGTAGCTGTTAAATTTTAGATGTCTAATTTTCTTTAAAAAAGATCAAATTGAAAGAAAAAAAAATAAAGTTTGCTTTAGGATGATCAAAATTCATAAAATGGATGAATTCCTATTAGCTCAGATTTTGAATAGAATCAAAATACTATTGAATAAGGCTAATTCAAGTAGATAAAAAGATTACTTGAATAAAGTTTGATATGAGAATTAATCTTTTTCTTATAATTTTGTAGGACAATTCTTAAGAATAGTAGTTATTAAATTAGAATAGTCCTGACCAAGATTTAAAATATGAATAAACTGCAATCATGATTGATTAAATTGAAAAAAGTCTCTTTATATTAAATTAATTATGTCTAATATATCATCTTTCTAAACATAAACCAAAGATCAAGCTTAATTGGATGAATATTTTGAAAGACTTTGAAAAAGTTGAAAGATAACTTTCTAGTATATAATCCAAACAGAATAAGTATTTTATCAGTCATAAAAATAAAAGAAAAACTTTCAATAAAAGTTGAAAAAAGAAATCAAGCAGTTAATAAGACTTAGAGTATATATAACTTTATGAAAAAAGAATTGAAGAAACCAAAATATACATATTATGAGCTCATGCACCATTATTTATAGTAAACTAGGTTATGAATATTATATAAGCTAGACTATGTTTGAAAATATCAAATGGAAGTTAAATTGTAGAATAGTAGTGCATCTAAATAACATATCAAGTTAGTGATATTTCATAATTTACTTTAAAATGGAAAAAGAATGGATAATTTGTAAAATAATTAATCTATTTACTTACAACTCTTTTTCTGTAATTATTTATTATAATGAAGAATTATCTATCTATTTTTAAAAAAGAGATATTATATTCTTAACCTATTAAAATAATCAATCTCTTCTATATTTAGTTAAGGTTGTCCTTATACTTTTTTTATCTTATAATTGCAAACCCTTTATTGCCATTATAGTTTTTCATGATTAATTCTTCTAAAAATGCCATTGTTTAATGCATTAAAATAGGATTTGATTTAAACTTATTAAAGTTTTCCTCAATTATAGAAACAAACTGTAATATATCAAATTAATATTTTTTATTAAGATAAATATCCTTTTTTCCAGATTATAATTAAAAAAAATAATAAACCTTATGTTAATCAAATTTCTTAAAGGTTTATTAATTATTCAGAGGAATTAAATAAAAAGTCATAAATTTGATTTTGAAAATCAAAATTTAATCTATTAAGATCTTTTTCAGCCTAATACATCTTTCAATATTTATTATTAATTTTTTTCCTAATCATTATTTAGCTATCATTCATATAATTGATTAAAGAAGTAATAGGAGAGTATATCTTAATCTAGATAAAATAAACATAAGATTATTTAAAGATATTTTTATAAGTTGTTGGTTCTTTCATTATGTAATTTAGTTGGTTTCATATCAAATATTATTTAAGAATCAGAATTCTATTGATATTTAGAGCCTGGGCTACTAAGTTTATAAAAATAGATAATAATTATATATCTAATCATTATTAAATTGCTAAAAAACAAACTTATTGTCTAACTGATTAATTTTGTAACATTAAAATTAGAATAAATTAATTTTTACTTAGAAGAGGGCTTTAGTTATGTTTATTAATAAAATCAGTTCAAACATAAAGGGGATCTTTTTTTAGGATGAATTGTTGATTGATCTTTACCAGATTTATGATGTTGGATGTGATTCCTGCAAATTGAAATTATTGTTACATTTTACATAAGGAAATTGATAATTTTGCTTCAAAAAATTAGGTATAAAGCAGATAGATGCTGTCCATTAAAGGAATACTTCATCCTATGAAGATACTTTATATTTTTAATCGAATTACTTAATGCATGGTTTCGCTTAGTTGTTAATTTAAAAAGATTCAAAAAGTATTAATTTTGAAGAAAGATGTAAAACAAAGCCTAAGCTTTCAAGGTGTAAATGCTTTTGAAATTTAAAGTATAATTATGGCAAATGAATTATCTTATCGAACATTTGCCACAAAAAGTGAATCTTTCATTTGCACTAGGAACTTTTCAATTAAAGCTTTATTTCTGTTTACAAAGTTTCTAATAGTTACATAAGTTAGCCATTCGTTTATTATTCTGATAAAGGACCTTCTCAATAGATTTATTTACTTTTTACTATTTTTAATTTCCATCAACCTTGTCATTTCTCATATTACTCCAGCAACATCTTAAATTACTAGACCGAAAGATTGTGAAGTTCCAACATCCTGATATAATTAAAGTTATAAATTATTTTTTGGCATGCAATAAGGCCTGTTATGTGATACATTTAATATCTAAATAATTATTAAATAATGGTTATCTTTCCTAAATTATAAAGGTTGAATTTAATATTCTGGGTTATGAACCTGACAATTAGATATAAACACTTTAATTATATAAAGAGAAAAATACCAATATTATTAATATTGAAATGATTTATCATATCTCTTTGAAAAACAAGACAAAAATAAAATAACAAAACAATTAAAATTTAGTGGCAAAATTAAAAAACTTAATTAAATTTTTTTTAATAACAGAAATTTAATAATTTAAGATTTTTTTTTTTAAAAGCTCACAAGTCGAATTATCGAAGTAAGCATTATTTCAATTATTTATTAGGTTTTTTAACATTTTATCTTTTTTTTTGTTTAGAGTATATTAAAAATTATAAAAAGTGTATTAATTAAAACAAATTATTCAATAGTAGATTACTTTGAACTGATGAGTTTTATAATTTTTATTATTATTTCTATCAAATTAATATTAACAACCTAAATCAGAATAACCATCAGTAAAATCACCATTAATATAAATATCATTATAATTTCCATATGATGGTCCTCTATTAATATGACAATGAATAGCTCTATCCTTCTAATCCTCCTTCAAATTATATATTTAATCATGAGTTTATGAAAATATAAAAGATGATAATGTATTATCTTGTTTATCAGAATTTCCACTATAATCCCATTTACAAGGAGAGTATGCTCCAAAGATAGAGCCACTTTTGGATTTAAATACCATTAATAGATTGTCTTTATTATTAACTTTATTCCAAAAATATTCTGCCTTTAACCCATCTCGACTACCTAAATACATTTCTACTGAACCCTTTATTGTTTTCTTTGTTTTCTCTTATAAAATGTAAAATATATCGAAAAGAGTTAATTTTTTTAAATGAATTATTTTCTAAGTAAGAAATCTTACTTATACATGCACAGTAAATTTGACTTATAATTTCTTTTAAATAAAATTGTTAGCAAAGAAAATTTTATAATTCTCTGCTCAAAAATATCAACGAGAAATTTTTCAATAAATAAGTTTTTTTTCTGATTAACTTTTCTAAAGCATCAATTATTTATTTGTCTTTTTCTTCATGCTTTTACAATATTAAATAAACCATAAGATAATTACTCCAATCATCTTCATTTTTTATAAATATTTTTTTTTTATAAAGCATTCATAAGCATCCAAATTCAAATAATTTTTGAAAATCTTCAAACCCATGATGGGAATTTTAATGATTGAATTAGAATGTCTATCAATAATGAAGTAGTATTTAATGAGGTCCTATTTTTTAAATTCAAGCTTTGATATATGGTTTAATTAATCTTAGTTTCTTGCCCCAAAAAGATTTCTGTTATGTGTAAATGAAATATATTTATATTATGACTCTATGAAATTGTATATAAAATTTACAATTATTATTATAATGTGTTGATAAAATGAATAAGATGGGAAAAGTTTCTTTATTTTGATTAGATTTAAGATTCAATTTATTGTTATTGATGATGATGAATCCTAATGAAATATATATTGTAAAGCAGCATTATATAATTAATATCAATTTGAATAGAAAATAAAGGATTTTACAAAACTCAATTTACAATATTCTATACAATATTAAGAAAGGAAATTTAACCTCTAAGTATTTATTGTTATGTGGAGTATCCTATTTATTATTAAAACAAGCTGGAGACAAAATACCAAGAATCATTTGTTACATTAGTTAAGAAATTAGGATGTGTTTATCACAATTTAGCCCAATATTCATAACATATTCAGTGAAAAGTTCTTGGCATTCTCTTTAAAAGGATCTGAATTAGTAAATTTTAATGGTTTCACTTAATTTGAAGAATCTTTATCATCATCCTCTCCTGGTAGAAATCTATAAGCTGGTTTAAGTTTAATTAAATAGAGTGAATTGATAAGTAAATTAATTTAAATCTATCCATAATATTTTTAAGAATCTTATTTTGTTTTTTTTTCCTTCTCTTTATTTACTCTTAAATATTATGCTGGAGCTTTTGAATAAAACTTATAAGATAATAAATCATAAATATATTATTTACATAAATCTTAGACATCAGAAATGATTTCAAACTTACTCAGTATTGAAATCAAATAAATAAATATACTTTTATTATAATATGTTAGAAAATTCTTGTCGTTTAAATGAACATAGTTAATCAAAAAGCATAGAATGCTTATATTTTGATGATCGACATATATAAATGGTGTATACTCTCCCCTCCTCTATTATAAAATTTCAATCCAGATACTGATTAATCAGAAAATCTTACAATATTTAAATTAGGAGCAAGACCATCATAAATGACTTTTTCAGTCTTCCTATCAGCTGCTATTGCTAATACTTGCAAGTCTGTTACTCTACCATCAACATCCAACATCCAAAACCTTACAGTATTGATTTCATATGCTTATTAAAATTTCACTATTATTGATTCACCAATTATGGCAAAAGCATGCCCTTAATGAAGTTTTGGATCTGAAGGATAGTAGTAGAGTAAATTTCTTAAAGGATTGTTGTCAATACCAGGGGTCCGAAAAATAGTTATTCTTTCTGATTATTGAAGTAGTGCTCCATTAAATGACGAAGCTACATCATTGTAATATCCCCTTATATTAAATGCTTTTTTTTAAATATAAAGATCATTTTAAGAACATTTTGCATTAGCATCAGGAGCTGGTAATTGAGATAATTTGGAGAACTCTATTAAAAAAAACAAAATCAATAGTTTCATTACAATTATAATCTAATCATATTATACAATGATTTATAATTAAGAGTTTTAAGAAAATAATATGATGAGGAGGAATAAAATAACTTAAATAAATGATAAATCCTATTTTTTAATGCTTTAAACTAATGCATTTCTACATATTTAATTAACGATAATAATTAAAGCCAACCTTGTAATTGTTTAGAAAGTCTTTGTAAAATCAATTTGAAAATATATATACTATTAAAAATTTTGAATTAAAACTAGAATTGAGTAAATTTAGTTCTTTTAACTAAATGAAAACATAATTCGAAGAATGTTAAATAGAATGAGGAGCTTACAAATGAAATCTAATTCCGTTTTAAAACTGTTATTTATTAAATAATCTTAAAGATAACATATAGGTAAGTAATCCACATAGTAAATAGCAAAAATAAGAACTGATAAAATTTAGGGTATTAACAAATAAGATATTAATCTTGAGTAGACTAATAAATAACTATCCTTGAAGTATTGAAAATATATTTATTTTCAGTTTTTTATAACAAAAAAAAAGATTTAATGATTGTAAAACTTAAAATATTGTGTTTATTTGATCATAATATCAAATGAAGGCCAATTAAATATAATCTCATAGATATGAAATTAATCATATTATATTTTTTGAAGATTAATTAATGATGTTAAATATTTAGTAACTTGGAATAATGTAGAACAGAAATAAGATATGTATGAAAAAACAATAATGGAAATGAATAATTTTACAATAGTATTATTTTTATAATTAAAGAAAGACAATTTTAACTAAAATGCATGAATTTATACAATTTACCATCTCAATTACTAGGGTATATTAATAAAAATTAATTATAATGATTAGAATCTTGAAATAATATTTGGCTCCATTTATATTAAAAACACTTTTTTTAGTGGTTATATAAATCATACTCAATTCTCTTCAATTTGAAAGGTTCAATACTATAATCTTGAAACTGCATTTGCTTTCGCTTGATTGAATGTTTTTTATTGAAACATTTTCAAATTTGTTAGTACTTAAAAATAAGAAAAACTTTTTTTGGAATTTCATAAGATTAATGAATAAATAAATACTTTATAACAAACTCAGCATTCATAAGAAATGGCAAATCTATCTCAAATCTTTGGACTAACTGAAATTTAATTAATTCTTAATGTTTTTCAGTTCTAGGTTTTTTAATGATAAATGTAATTTATTATATGATAATGATAATATTGAAAGTAACCTTTTAAGTTATGAATTCAATTTGAAAATAATAATCTTAAAGATGATAAATGGATTAAGATTTATAAAGTCATGAATAAAATAAGGTAAAATCATCAAAAACATTTAATTAGTTTATTTAATCACTTTTTGAGATCATAAACTATATATCAATATTAAGGTTATTAATTGTGGAAGCTACTTTGCGGATAAAGAAAAATAATTTAGTTTTCGTAAGAAATCAATTATATTTAAGAAAACTGAGTAGATTATTTAAGATTTTTCATTATTAAAGAAGATTAATATATCAAACTTTTTGGGTTTTTATTATTTGGGAATCTATGAAACCCTATGATTTACTCAAATAAAGAAATTACATTTTACATTTAATTAATATTTAAGAATCAATGGATGTAAATTGACATTTTCTAAAAAAATAAATTTCTTTTACAATTAAATATATTAAAAAAAGATTTAGATAAAGTAAAATAGGTTTGTTCAAGCAAAGAAGGCTGTATTGATCCATATGCAGCTATAGTTTAGCTTTACGATTTTATTTCATTTTAATTGATTTTTAATCAAATATTAATATTGAGTATTAAATAAAACATAAGTTTTTCATTTGTAAAGGTATTTATAATTTAAAAACTTACACCTAATGTCCAAAAATAGAGTCAAGTAATTGAGATATATTTTCATAGTATCAATTGCTCAAATTTTCTATTTAAAATTTCTCACTTTTAATAAAATAGATCATTATAATGAAAATAATTTATTGCTGAGATTCAATTTAAAGTTTTGCTAAAGACTTATATAATTTTATATTGTAGAAATTCCTGATAATTAAAAAGCACTTATAAATTTCCAAAATTCACTAATAGTTTTTTTTTAAATAATTTATGATAATATTTATTTTTTCTCTGATAATAAACAGATAGATTTTGAATAATATTGAAATCGAAAAATTGGAATGAGGATATAAAATTATATTCTATTGTAAATCAATTCAATTAATCATTCTATTTATCTTTTTTTTATTATTTAATTAATTATATATTTCTTTGTTTGATTTAAAATATTCTAATTTGAATAAGTATTAAAGATATTATTTATTACTTTAGTATCTTATTTTAGCTATTAAATGTTTCCATATCACTATTTATTTTATGCAATACCTTCCAAATTTAGCTTTAAAAATAGGATCTGCATAAAGAATCAAAATCGAAGTGTAATAATCCAATAATCTATTTATCATATTTATTTTCAGATTAACATTAATAAGAATTTGGAAAAAAACAGAAAGAAATTTTGATCTTAGTTCTTGTGATAAGTATTGATACGATTTGGCTTTAATAAATCAAATTTCAAATCAAGAAAAGCGAATATTTAAAAAAAAAAAAAATTTTTGATATAATCAAATCCATAAGTTATAAAAAACAATTAAAATTTTACTTTGATTAAATTTTGTAAAATTCTTTTAATAAATTAATTTATTTAAAGAAAAAATAATTAATTTAACCTAAGAAATATCATAATTAAGAATAAGTTCTAATTAATAAGAAATAATGTATTTAGTAAAAGAAATACCGATATATAATATTTAGACAATTAAAATTTATTTTAAATTCTTTTGTATAATTATACAAATTCTCAATTCTCTCATTTGATTTCTTCCCTTATAGTTTTCTTTATTGAATTTGATGGGGCTAAGAATTCAAAATTACACCCATTCATTCCTATGCACATAAGGGTACGTATAGGTTTAGTGGGTTTCAAAGGTTCATGAGGTTAATTTTAGTGGTATTGGAATTTATGATTGTTAATCAGATTCTATTTCCTGATCTAATTGCTATTTTAAATTTTGCATAAAAATATTAATAAACTTTTATATCAATTAATTCGAATTTGTAGTAAAAATTATTTTATTAATTACTTTTACTTTTCTTAGCTACATTTATTTAAATAATGACTTTGAAGTATTTAATATTAAATTTAATAATTTTCAATTACTTTTAATTCTTATGTTCAGAGATTGATCAATTTTTTCCATTTTATACTAATTATGTATAAAAACTCTTCATAGATCTATATTTTATGTAACGTAATTTTTGTTATAAGGATCCTAATTGTATGAATCAGTGTGGCCACTAAGTATGTCAAAATACATTTATGATTCTTAGTAATTAAGAAATGCAAAAATTTGAATTGCACAATCCAAGAATTAGGAAATAAAAATCCTAAAAAAAAGTGGCTTTTATCTATTATTAATAATAGATTTAAAGAAAAATTGCTTAATCTTTCTAATTCAAAATGCTAAATCATAGAATCAGTATTTGATATTAAAATAAAAGATTAGAATCAAGCAAATGTTACTCAAAAATAGTTTAATTATAACACAAACAACTTTAATCCTAGATTTTTAATTCTCTCTTTAGATCCTTATAATTCAATATATAAATTGTATGTAATTTAAATCTATTGCAAACAAAAAATTCATTGTATCTTATATTATAAACACAAAAAGCTTAGGCGTATTATTTAAGAGAATAATTAAAATGAATTACATTCTCTTATTTATTAATCTTTGTTAATTAAATGAGCGATTAACCTATTTTCTAACATTTAATTTAGATTGTTAATTTTTTTAAGCATTTTAAATCTAATTTATATATGCGAGAGTTTTAGTGAATTTTACTTTAATCTCTTTAGTAATATTCATTATTTATTTAGGAGTTAATATTTTTTTAGGCTTGGAAAAGTCTAATACCATAAAAACATAATTTAATTTTCCCCATTTTATTTATATATTTAAAACTACACTGATTTAATAAATTAGCAGAATAACATAATAATTTTTAAGAAGCTCGGAATTTATATATTTTTGACAAAAAGAGATTTTTATAAATTGATTATGTTTAGAAGGTAAATCTCTCTTTGATTAATCAAATCACAAAGCCAGGATTCATAAGTTTCCTTACCCTTTTCACTATAATAAGGTTCATTTTACCAAAGGCATTAATTTGTTAACGAATATAACTTATATAGTTGTGGTTAAAATTGTGGTAGCAACCAATAATTATTTTCATTTTGATTTGCTTTTTAAACAAAAATTTTTTTAAGGAGTCTTAATAGCTCTATGCTAGATGATCTACATCATATATATCTTACATATATACTAAATTAAAAGATTAAATTTGAATTTGTATTTGTACACATTGCCATAAATGATAATTTATATAATTCACAATAATTAAATTACGAAATTTTAATAATCCATTTTAATTTTACATATATAAGCTCTTAACTGAATATATATTAATATGTATTCTTTTAAGAAGAGAATATACTGCAAATAACTCGAGGTATTAAAGATTTTTGTTTCACATCCCTAATTAAATAGATAGTTAATTAAGAATTAATTTAATAAGAAATTAATCAAATTTTTGATGATTTTTATTAGGGAAAATGTGCGTAGATGGGGATCTTAAATTTATTGAGGTTGCATCTTAATTGAAATTTTAAATAACATTTTTCACTTCATCAAATTATATAATTTTAATTGATTATTTGATTCTCATATAGGAAATTATTTTTAAAAACCTATTAATAGTCTACAAAATTGAAATACCATCTGCTAGATAATCAATAATATTATGGGCTCGCTAGGAACATTCCAAAATTAATTAATTAATTTAAAAAGCCAATGCTTATAATTAGAATATTTAAATGGTATAAATTAATCTTACATAAGAATCTACTTATGAAGAATTATTATAAAGAATGGATGGTTCTTTATTATCGATACATTTCTTCCAAAATTTTAATGGTGAATTAAATACATAATTTAGTATGATGATACTCGACTTAGCAAGTATTATCTATGAAAATTCTAAAGGCTTCTTAAAATTAGAAATCTTAAAACTCATTACTTTTATATTTACCAAGTTTCTCCTAAATTATTTTACCTGTTATAATTACTAGCTGTTACATATTTCCAAAGTTTTAAGAACTATAGTTCCCAACTATCTTACATTTAATTTCATCATAAAAAAAGCTAAATATTGAAGTAAAATATCTCTCACTTTAACCTCTGCTTATTTTATAAGCAAATTTGAAGTCCTCTAATAAGATAATGTTATGATGCAGAATGACTCTCATCATAATCTTTTTGAATATTCTTTTAGGATGGTTTTCAGCTTTCCTAATTTTAACAATATAAAGTTGGATTTCAAGATGATTGATTAAGAGATTATTATACACTATAGATTAGGTAGTAATATTAATAATTAGCTTTTTAATGTCTTAATCAATAGTAGATCCTGAAATGACTTGTTTTTTCTACATTTACTTTTACTCCACATTTTTTCTATAATTAAATTTACTTACCTATAATAACATTTTCTCTAAAACTATTCATGAACATAATCTTATATAAAACCTTACCTAACGAATTTGTAAATATTATCCTCCAATTTTATTAAGTCAGGAGTAGTGAGTCTAGTCCACTTTCATCTGATTCATTTGAGGTGATCCCCCTATAGCTAAACGAATAATAAATTATAATTCCAACACATTAGATAAATTGAGACTCTAATTTTATTTCTTCAGGAAGGGTTATTAATATTGATTCTCTGTTAAGGAAATACCTTTATCAAGGAAGAAGATAACTCAATTTGCCTCACCTAATTCCAAAATTAATTCTTCATATATTTAGCTTATTTAAAAATTAGTCTTTTAATTATTTATATCATTTTAATTAATTTTGAGTTAGTTTGATAAATTTTATTGACTGTTTATTTATTTAAAAAATATTTAAATACAACCGTTTTAATTTTAAATCTTTATCTAGACTTTTTTCAGCACTTCAGTCATTCTTGAATATATTATAAAAATTAATATCATAATCGATTATCAGTGGCTTACCTGATTTTTTTTGCATAAAGGTATCATTAATTTTTACATCAAGTTCAAAGGAAAAAGAAGTATTACCAAAGAATTTAATTTAAAATCCATTCCGCTAATGTGAGCTACTTTGTCACTACTTCTAATCAAAAACTATGGTTAGACTCATTCAGATTAAAAGCTTTTAGAAGATTTAACATTCTTCAGATTTTTCTTCTCTAACAAATAATGGGAGAGAAATCACTATTAAAATTGCTCCTCTAGTACTTCTTGAATTTCGAGGGTTCGACCAATAGTTTTGTATTACTAATCCAGACTTAATCCAATAAATTTCAATGTAAAAATCAATATTAAACGATGTCTGAGTCATTAAGACTAAACTTTTTTTCCTTTAGTTTAAGCTTTTTGACCTAATTTTTTCCTGCTATGATTTATACAATAATTATTAATCAGATTCATCTTATTAGCAAACAAAAATTGCTCTTCATGAAAACATGATATAGTTGAAACAATCAAAAAAGATATCAATTTTCATTTAGTTGAAAAATATTTATCTAAAAGGTATGATTAATTTATAATTGCTGTTTTTACTCTTGTAAGTATTCCTTTTTTTGCCATGAAATATCCAAAAAGTAAAAGGGCTTAAGAAATAATTAATAAGATTATTTATTTATAGATAATTAGAAAATTTCATTCTGATTCTTTTATAAAGGTTAGAAAATTATGAAAATATTTTAAATTAACCTTAACAATCTTAAGTATATTTTGGATCTTTTGAGTTGCTTACAATCTAAAAGAGTTTTGATTAAATATTCATAAGATTAAATAACTTAATTTCTATTTTTAATACCTTAATCTTTTCATGTTTAAACTAATCTAATGAGATATAAAATATTTTATATTTATTTTTAATTTTAATAAAACTATTATAATTTATAATATATTTCAATTACTTATAAATAACCATTATTTTATTTTTTATTTTTGGTTTAAGTTATAATTATGTATTCTAAAAATATTGAAATTTTAATATTCCTCAAAAGAATCTTTTAACCATAAAACCCTATATCTCTCAAGGAAAGAATAAATAAAATTATTATTATTTAAAATAGAATAATGAATTTTAATAATTATATTAAATGATTTATTTCATTTATACTATATTTCATATATCTCGTATTTCCTCTTCTCTTCTCCCCAAAATATTAAATATTATCCATTGTTTGTTACTGTTCCAAATATTGACCAACGTTGGCAATCTAATTCTTTAACAATTGATAATTATCCATCATTTTGTTCTTTGAGTAACATAATATATTCTTTATGTCTTAAGCATATCAAATTTTTATCCTTAATGTATATTATTGGGAAAAAGAATGGTATATATAAAAATTGTTGACTTTATTTATTAAATTAAACTATCTTCTCTACTATTTCTTGAAATTGACCATCTTTTTGTTCAAATACACATATACAATTGGCTGAATAAGGTACCCATATAAATTAATCTTCTTTTATAAATTTAACATGACTTCCAATACCTTTTATTGATTATTTAACTACATACTAAAAAATCCACCTATTATTTTAATCTTTTTACCAAATTATAATTGAATTTCCAAATTCACATGAAACCAATAATCTTTCTGATTCATTTAAACTTAATGAGTTGACAAAATTAGTATGTTTTTATAAAGAATAGAGAAATGTTAATTGATTATTAATAAAATCTATACTCCATACATTTATCATAAAATCTGAACTACCTGAAATTAATTAATCTTCATTTTATGTTAAGATTATACAATAGACTTCTTTCTAATGCTCACATTATGGTTAAGAACTTTACCATTGATTGTTATTCAATTATTTCCAAGAAATAATTGATCCATCTAGTGATCCGGAAATAAAATAATTCTTAATTTTACTATATACTAGACAAGTAACATTATTTTAATGTTCTGAGAGCGATTGAACTTATTAAATCTTTCCATTATTAAAATTCCAAATTATAATTTTGTTTTCACAAGTTGAAACCATAATCTTCCCAGTTGAATCAAATATAATGGCATTACAAATTTCTTCTTAATCAATTGTATCATCAATAAGTTATAATTGATTTGGACTTAATTTTTATTGTTATTAAATTATAGACATATTTGATGTTTGTTCATTTAGTTTGTTGAATATATTCTTTAATTATTGATATTCTTTAAATTATTTGAATTGTTCTAATTAAGAATTGACTTTTGTAATCCAATTTTGATTAAGTATTTTAATTTGATTTTAACAATTAATCTAATCAGCTTTAGTATTTTATTCATCGACTATTAATAAATCTAATTCTTTAAAGAAACTATATTCTGAGAATTTAGATCCTGTTTATTTTAAGTTTAATATCCAATCATAAGTGTTATTAATTAATTGATCTAATTATTAAAGAACAATAGATTTTAAATTATTGATTTGAATTTAGAATGATTCAATTTATTTAATATCTGTTATAATTAGATCTTCAATGATATTTAACTATTACTATTTATTTTCTTCAATCTTCTGAATAACTTTCTTAAATCCAATTGTCTTATAGTTTTAATCCAATTCTAAATTATCTATGCATTCTTAACACAAAAGTCTTTAATTTTATGAGAGCTTAGAATCTAGAATAACCATTGAGACAGGTAATTCATGTTTCATTAAACAATGAAGATTTTTTTCATTTTCTATCATTTTTGTTTTATACATTCTTAATTAAATTTTTATTTTAATCATTTATAAACCTACCTTAAAAGACAATTTCATATAATACTAGCAAATTTATTATGATAAATGATAAAGGAGAGAAGTTAGAATAAGACAACTCATTCAACACTTAAGAAATGTGTATCGAGAAGATCGATTAACATATTGTTCAGTAGTAATAGTAACTGTATCAAAATAATTTCATAGTCATTGAAGATGAAAGTTAATAATTAAGTCCAAAGATTATAACAGAATCCCGAGACTTGGATTTAAAGCGGGGAAGCTTAAAAGACTTCTTTAACCCGTGAGTAAAATTATATACTCGTTAATGGCCTGCCCTTAAGGTGTAGGATTTCTAGTCTATAAAATCCGAATTCGGAACTTTGAAAGACTTCAAAAATTACTGGAGCTGGAAAGAAAGCTCATTATAATAAGACCAGGACTATTATCAGTTAGATAAAAAAAGAGACTTCCGTAGAGGCTTTTTACACATCAGAGATATTCACCTGCTTAGTTAATTAAATTAAAAATCTATCCCTACTTTAGTTTCTTAGCCTTCACCTAATATTCTATATCAAATAAATTGAGGATTTCTATAAATTAATAGCTTAATAAAATTGAAGATTAGTTAATTCTATTAAGAGCTATTCTTTTTAATTCAACCAAGTTGGTTATATTTTTCTGCTTTTGATTCAATTATTGATTATTTCCTCTAATTTATTAAAGTAGTATTAGAGAGTTTTATATTTTCAAAGCCAAAAACTCTTAGGATAAATATTTAACTCTCTTTTTTGTTTCCCTTAATTAATAATATTTCTTTTTTTAATAGATACATATTACTTTTATTATCCATTTTATGAATTTAATTGAATCAATCTCTTTCTTTACAAAATTCTTAAATTGAATCTTTTTAATTAAATTAATTAATTGTATTCTATCAAGCCATTTATTTAGATTTTAATCTTAATTATTAATTATTAAATATTGATCAAGTTAATTTTGAAAAATTCTAATTTCAAATTATTAAACTCTCAACAATTTATTAATTTATATTTGCAAAATTAATATCATTTTGCTAGAAACTAAATAGTGTCATCCCTTTTTAAATGATTCCAACACTGGTTTATGTTATGATCCTATTTCCAAAATTATATTTCTAATTTAAAACACCCAATTTTTTCTAATAAATTCTTATTAGAAGTGTAAAATGAATTTTCAGCCTAAAGCTCTAACTTTCTTCTTCCTTTTATTTTACTGGCTTCACCTTTCATCAATTGTTCATTATAGTGTATCTTAAATTATACACAACTCATTTCTTCTATAATGCTAATCCTATTAATACCATTTAGTCAAAAAATACTTTAATTATTCTAGGCAGTATCATTCTTAAGATTCTATTAAATAGCTTTTTCATAGCATTTGATAGCTTCATTATATTGATTTAGATTGTCTATTTTAATTGTAAACTCCTTTCTTTTATCATACTACTCCGATTAATATGATCTATTAATAAAAATACCTTTGTTGTTATGGACACCTTCCTTCCAATGATTTAAATATATGGCGATATCACAACGTTTAATTCATTCTTCAATTCTTTATAAATACAATATTAAATTAAATGTAAATAATTTGAATTTACCGAATGACCCATACATATTATAGTATTGATATTACTTTTCCAGCTAAATATCTCATCAATTATGTTAAATAGAGACAATGATTTGTCATAAAATTTTAAAGCATACTCATGTTTACCATCATTTGTTAGCATTGCCATTTCAAATGAATTGTCAATTTCTTATTACTTTTCATTCTTATTTAATTTTATTGTAAGATTTCTTATAATTCATTAATTAATTTATTTAATGTAAATTCATTAATTTATTTAATGTAAATTCATTAATTTACTTTAAAAAATAATACATAAATTTTAACCTTCTTTTTGTTATTACTCTAATGAATAGTACTATTACAAAATATTTTAGATTATTTAAATCCTAAGTATTCTTAAGTTATAAGTAACTACCTCAAATGCTTTAAATTTAAAATATTTTCATTCTTTCTTTTAATATTTGATTCAATTTAGATTTTTAATTTAATGTCGATGTCATTTGATTAATTGATAATATATATGCATTAAAGATTTCAATTCTACTTTTTTTAATAATAAAATAATACTTTAAATATATAATTACATCATACCTATTTATTAATAATGTAAGAAGAAAAATTAAGACATAATGGAATATCTTAGATGATGTAAATCAATAACATCTTGAATAATCTATCTTATAATGTAAGAATTTAGCTAAAGTTGATAGAAATAGTTGTTATATGTTGCTATAAATGGAATTAAAAAATGCTAATGTATTAGCAAATAAAGGACCACTATATCTGATAAAAAAATATAGGATAAAGGGTAGATCATAGAACTTTTGGATCTTTTAGTTCATCTCACATCCATTGATAACATATTCATATAGTGTGAATGAAATTTATTAAATTTATTATCATAAATGAAAATTAATTTGAAAAAACCATTATTTTGAAAATATAAAAATCAAAAACACTTTTGAGAAACAGACGGATAGGACGCAATCTGAATGACCATTAAATTTGAATTTTAATTTTCCTATTTTAATATCCCATAAACGGATAGATTTTTCTCTGCTGCCAGATGCCAACGCAGTACCATCAGGAGAGAAACATATTGAATTGATAAAAGCAAAATGGCCATCCCATTTGGATTTTTATTTTCCTGTTTTAACATCCCATATTCTGATGGACATATCATCCCTACCAGATGCTAATGTAGTACCATCAGGTGAGAAATAGACTGAATAGACAATACTAGTATGACCAAATAATTTAGATTTTTATTCTCCTGTTTTAATATCCCATAAACGGATTGAATTATCTCCACTACAAGATGCTAATGTAGAACTATCTGGAGTAAAACATACTGATAGGACTGCCAAAGTATGTCCTTTTAATATACTTAACTTTTGTATTTTAATATTCTTCCATTTACAGTTAAATAGTATCGCGCCGTTCAAATTCAATCCACTTATATCGACGTTTCAAATTACGATCCACTTAAATTGCATCTAACAAAATTAGCACCCACTATGGATGTATTGCAAACTTTAATATTTTCAAAATTTTAGTTTCCAAGTTCAACCTTCATCTCAACTAATAAATGTAATGAATTTGACCCACACTAGATAAAGGTTTAATCTAAGGCTGTGAGACGAACTAAAAATTAAAAAAATTGGATTATCTTCTATTATTTAATACATTTTTAATCAGGTCTTTTTTTAAGTCTGTGTAGATTTCCTCTGAATAATTATATTTATTAAAGTTTTGATCTTGTATTTATTAGATAATATTAGTCATCTTCTCAATGTTAATTATTTCTAGATCCTGATGCACCTTGAGTTATTCATCTAAATATTTTTGATTATCAAGGTTTGAAAGGAATCCTATGCAATCTGAAATCTTTTCTTTTCTTAGTATTTCAATTATCAAGTAGTATATTTGTTCATCAATATCCTTAACTTTCACGAAAATCTCAGATAGTTCTTCGTTTTATTTATTAGATTAATTCATTTACTTTTTGTTAAAAAAATTATTAAAAAACTTATCTTCTAACTTTCAGTTTTATACTACAAATTCAAAAGTTAATTATTTATTTGAGGATCAAAATTTGTAAAGATTAGGTGTCGTTTATAGTTAATCATTAATAGCTGGGAAATCAAAACAATATTTACAATGCTTGAATCTTAGAGAATATAGAATAAATCACATAATATAAAAAAGATGAAAATATTAATAATTACTTTATTTTATGGCATTTTGTAAAGATGTATTTATATTTGAGGTTGTTTGAGTATGAGGTTTACTTAAAGTTTCCTATCAATCAATTCTCTTTATTTCCTATTCAATATTATATAGTGATTATAATCTAATGAGGTGTTCCTAAGTATTCTTATAATTGTATTCTTATTATTGATTTATGAAGATGATGTAAGAAATAGTGTTCATAAATCATAAGGAAATTTAGAGAATTTGAAAAGCAAAAAAGATATGTAAAAAATAGTTCACTTTTTTATAATGAATTGTTTCAATAAAAAATAATATTTTTCTAATTTCTTATAATTGTATATGTATCCTGCAATGAATGATGCTTAACCCAGCAAGGCTATACCTATAATATAAAATATTAACAACGTCATGGTTAACACCATTCATCGCAATAACACCAGTTATAGCACCATTAAGATATAATTTTTAAAGGAATGAGACAATTCTAGATATTCTTAACTATATAAACTCTATTAATTTATGTATGATATATATCTATATTTTTTCAAGTAATGTTAGGAGTAAATTTAACTTGAATAGCATAATTTCTTTTAGTTTAAAAGAAAAAATAATCAATAAAAAGATAGGAAGGTAAGTGATTCTAGTTTTGTAATTGGGTGATAAGGAATTTATGGTATTGATAAAAAGTATCAAGATGTTCTTTCTTTAGGGGTCAAGTAAGTTGTAAGAAGAGATAGAGGTATGGGGACATCCAGGATTTTTATATCGGTACAAATGAAGTGTGATAGTATTTGTATTAAGAATATTTAATGTTTCTTTATATTAATGGTATGATTCTTTGCTTTGAACCAGTTAGGCATTTGATAACACCTTAAAGATAGTGAAGATGAACTTTCAAAAAGGTCAATTGTCGTGGTCGAATAAAGTCTCTAACCATAAATGATAGAGAGTTGAGAATATCACAGGTAATCTTATTGTGGACACTCCATCAAAAATGGTGTGATAATATACGTGATTTATACAAAAAGTATTTTTGTTTTTGTTAATGGTAGAGCCTTTCCGTAAATGGTATGATCCTGTCCTTTACTAGTAAGGATTAAATAATAACTGTAATTAAATACTATCATTAATATTTAAGGATATTAATTAGTAATTTGATACTTCAAAGAGTTGCATCATCTGATATCTTGAAATTTATAGACTATTTAAAATGTCAAGCATGAAATGTCTTACATACATTTGATTCAATTTAAATGAAGAAACTTATTCTATTTATTTTTATATCATAAAATTAATGAAAACTGTTTTAATGAATAACCTTTATCCTACCTCACTTTTAAACAATAATCATTTAAAATTTGATTATTTAACAAATAATAAATTTAATAAACTTTTTCTTATTTTCTAAATATTTAAATAAAGATGAGGAATAAGTTGAAAATGTTGAAACAAAATTTTGTAAATTTATATATTAATTCTTATAAAATAATTATCTATAAAATTATTCTTTAAATGTTGTATTTTTTATAAAATAATCTCATAAATAAAGGAATAAAATTTATAGAAAATAAAAAGTTGAAGCTGAGGAGGCAGTTTCTCCTTCGTTGCAGTCTATATCTGTTTTAATGTTTAAATAATTTCTTATTGAAATCAATCTTTAAATACTATTACTATCTAATTTTCTCTTTCAAAAGTGATAAGAAATGAAAAGATTAAGTTTAAATAACAAATTATTTCATAAGACTTTTAAGGATTTTACAATAGAATGCCAGTCAAAAAATGATTAAACTTTAACAATCTGATAACATATATAATATGAGAACACTAAAAATTGAATTGTTAATTTATACTCAATTTCCCAAGTTTAACAAAGAAAAAGAGTTGAGATAAACTCATGACTAAAGCATCATTTATAATTATTTTCTGAGACTATTGAAAGAAAATGAATTTGTGCCAGAAAGGGCTAGCAAGAATAAATCAGAATCCTAATTGAATTATGATAATTGGAATATACTTAAGATAAAAAGTTCAAATAGAAAATGTTCATATAAAGCTCTAAAAGATGGATTAACATGTAAATAAAAAAAAATTATTTGGTGTAAATTTTAATATATCTCAAATAATAGTAAGATAAAAAGTTTATTTAAGTTATGAATATTTAAATAAGGAGTTTATTCTATAAGGCTTTTAAGCTAAACTATATAGATTTCCCTAAAACTTCAGTAATGGTAATCCATTACTCTCAATTCCTATATATTGTGAGAAGGAGAGAGATTTTTACTTCTTTAGAAATGACATCAATTTTCAAGGAATTTTAAAGAAGTTAAAATTTATGCTTTTAGAATGGCTGTTTGAATTACTATATAATATGACCATATCCTTAAGGAAAATGTTCATTTCTAGCTTGAAATCCATTAATAATCATTATTAGCTCCTTTTTAATTGACATTTCCTTTGATATGCTCATTTATAAACTAAATCGAATAATAAGATAGAAGATTATAATTCGATCTATGGAAAATTAATAAGATTCTTAACTTTAAAGACAATTAGAATGAAGCAATTATAATATTTGATAAATTCTCTGTATCGTTAACTCAATAATTCTGGATCTAATAGAAGGATCTTGATTTAAGCTGAATATTAAAAATTTAATTAATTATGTAACTACTAATAGAAAATCAGTATTGGGTTTGGAAAATTGGGCTTCTTGAACGTAAAAGTTTCAAGTAAAAGGGAGTCAATATCTCACCAAAAGCAAATATGACATAACTCTGGTTGTCATATATTTAACCACATTTTGACTAAGTAGCCCCTTGTTGAAGAATTGCTTAATAAAAGAATAGATGCATAGGGGTTTGATAAAATAAATCTTAAGACTGACAAAGTCTACTTCAAAGTAAAGTGAATTGGCCTTTGGTAATCCTTTGTCCTATTGCTCTAATTAAATCCACTGATTAATAAATTTATAGATATTATTAATTTAAAGATTTCTCTAAAGAGTCCTAATTAGGTAAATATTCACTCGATTTAGTTTGGATATTTTGATTTGAATATTTCATCAACAAATTTAGTACTAATGGTAAAGAAACCACAAAAAATTATTTTGCACTTTGATACTAATTTATATGAAATTCATTATTCAAATGAAATTAGGTTTATCCACTTTTTAATTTTCACATTTTAATTAATACTTTGCTAAAATAAAAAAATTTATTCCTTATTTTCTAAGTCAACAATTAGTTTGAATAAAGAATATAAAATTTATCAAAAATATGAGTGTGATAGGCTAATGTATAATCCTTTGAAAAATGATTCTAAATTTAAAGGTTCAGGAATTAAAAATAATTATACTTAATATTTTCATAACCCTTAAAGCTTGGCTAGCAATCTGATAATTGAATATATACATCCACAATATTAGTAATTTTTATAAATAATATTATTGGCTTTTCTTTAATATCTATAATTCACAAAAACAATTTAACAAATTACAACCTTAATTTTTCATCATTTATTTTGCTTTAATTGAGAATAATCAAAGTAGTATAAATCTCTTTTATTTCTTATAAGATTCTACATATGAAGAATGAAAAATCCTATTTTTTATCTCCATTTCTTTGTCAATTCAAAATCTTTCCTCTTTTTTACTCATCCTTATTACATATCCGACTTTTAACTATTGTATTCCTAGTTTGCCTTTAAATAAAGATTACAGAATACTGTTTAGGCCCAATTAAAAATTTATCAATTAAAGAGAATCAAAAAACTAAATTAAGAGATCCAATTAAAATTATATAAGAAATCAACATTTTAATCGTGAAAATTTCTTTTGTATCAAATAACAATCGTTATGAAAGAAAATAGAAACATGGGAGTTAAAAATTAGATATTAAGCAATCATTTTAGAAGATAATACTGTATGAAAAATCCTATATCAAAATATTGTAGATAACTTCAATTATGTATAATGGATATAGGAACATTAGTTCTTATGGTTTTCTCAATTGGAGGAGGAATTGTATTTATAATAATTATATTTTGATTTTAAAGAGAATGAAAATTGTTAGGAAATCTAGTCATAGATGATAAAAATCAACATTATTATTCCTCTTTTGTAGTAAAATATTATCAAAACAAAAAAGTTAGTTCAATAATAGAATAACTTAAATTAGATTTATTTATTTATTTATTAACGATTAGAATTTTAGTGTAATTGACCCTACCAGGTTTTAGAGTTGAAATTTAATACATCTAACAAACATAAGATAATTATGTTGATTTTTAATATTTTGAGAATGGAACAAGTATTTAATTAGAAATATCAATTTTCTTAATTGATTCTAATGGGTTTTTTTTTTATTATATTCAAAGATAATTACATGATCTAAATTGATCAAGGTCTAAAAGATTAATTTAATAAACCTAAAATTAGTGAAATAGTAGGAACCCATATAAATAATCAAAATAATAGAACAAACTAATATAGCCTTAATTATTGGCTAATATTTTTGGGTGTATTAATGAAAAAATATTATTAATAAAGAAAATTTTGAAATAGTTAAAATCTTAAGGAGTTTTTAAGATATTGAATCTAAAAAAGAACATACATACAATATGTAAAATTAATTTTGTATCAAAAATGAAACTCTTGGATTAAATATTCGACCATTATACGATTAAGCCTAAAAAGCAAGAGAAGTATGTATCAATATACTAAAGTAATTAATTTACAAAAATGATATTAAATAAATTCTATTGTTTATACTAAGAATCATTTCTTGTATATATTGCTATGATTAATAATAATAATGAAAAATTGATATCAAAATTTTCATCTTATTAGAACAACATAAGAGTTTTATCTATTTTTTAGTGATTTATACTTTTATGACTTATTTCTCCTTCTCATTTATTTTATAGATAAAGCTATTCTAAACTATGATGAGCGAGATCAACAGTCTTAACTGTAGAAAATTTTAATAATGATCTTTTCTTATAATTTTTACTTTATTTATTTGCTCATTCTAATTGCTTTCGACAATACTGACCTTATTTGTGTTAAAGTAAATAATAATATTATATTCTTAAAGTTTTCACATCTTTTAGATGTTTGATAGTAATTATTGATTTCAGCTGAACTTTGACATGATTTAAAATCTCACTATGTTTCAAGGTTCCAGTTTAGATTTAACAAAAGGATAAACAATCCAGAAATAGATTTTGAATGTAAAAAATTGATGCCTGAATAAATAAATTATCTACAATAAAATAATAAAGTTTTACAGTTTTCCTTGATCTCTATAATGCATATAATATGGTTCCTATGGTTTTAGTGTTACATTTCTTCTAAAAAATCCAATATTAAAAGGAATCTGCATATATAATGAGCAAATGCTCTATAAAGGCTTGATAATTCTCTTTAGATTTATATTCATCAAGGATCTTTGCTAGTAAAAGAATAAAGTGTATCAAGAAAGAATCATCAAGCCTTTTAATTTATAAAAGGTAAGGTACTAAAATCACTTTTTAGGCTAAAAACAGTGGCTATCACTAAATTTTGTGCTTATGTAAAATTAGCTATTGAATAATTTATTAATTTTGTCTAATAGCTTATCTTTATATTTTCTACTAGATGGAATATGAGTGTGCAAAGCAGTTTTATTAAATAAAAGAGAAGTTTATGTAGTCTATTTTTTAAATTTAAATAAATTATTGTCAATACGATATATGAAAGATTTTGGAACTCATATACCATACATAACTTTAAATATTTGGTTCCTTTATTGTTAAGTTTCTAAAAAATTACAATAAGGTAATAATTATATAGATTTTCTATAAAAAAGGTCATTACAATATACATGTTGTCTCCTAACAATTTATTTGAAGATATTTTTTTAAAGTGGAAAGAGACTTGAATAGGTGATGGAAGAATCCTAAGTTGCTCTTGATCTTTTTCCCCTTTATAATTTTATTTTCTAATGAGAATTCGATCTTAGTGAAGAAATAAGGATGGCTGAATGTAAATTATAACCAGTTTTCTATCCTCTTACTACATTAAAAAGACATGAAGGACAGAAAGTTATATTCATTTTTATATTTACACATACCATAAATATCAATTATCTTTTATTTTTCCATAAGAAGAAAATCCATTAATTATTTCGATTCTATATTTTTTTAATTGTTTTTGATAATTGAAACAATACCAAATAATAATCTTTATCTCCATAAGATTATATCTAGCACTCAAATTTGAATATTTAACTAAGTTTATAGATGGAAAGCTAAGTTAAGAAAACTTTTGATTGGAGATAATTATGATGAAAATAAATTTCAAGAATGTTCAAAAATACCAATTTTATGGGAGAATTTCAATTGATAAAATTTTTTTAATTACTATTCATTATTGATGTTTGAGAGTATAATAATTTCAAAAAGAGTTATTTATTTTTTAAATCAAATTGAGTAACTAAAAAATAAATTTCAAAAAAATAAAAAATTTATGAATTCTTTTAAAAAAAGAACAAAGAACATCTTTATTTAATATTAAATTATGCTAGAATATATGTGAATTATTAATTAATTAAAATAAACTCAATTAATAAGTTTAATCTTTAATATATTACATTAATAATTTATAAAACTAATTTTTTAATAATATGAATAATAACAATAAAATAGTTAATATCTTTAGATAAATTATTTATCAAATCCTTGTAAAATCTTCAAAAATTTCTTCTAAACTGCTATGCATTACAAAAAAATGCATAAAATGATATAGCGGATTGAGATCCATGTTTTTCAAACTTTTAGCTATTAATCTATAAATGATTATTCTTCCAAAAATTGTTATTGGTTCTAAAAGCACTTGTGATATGATTATATTGCCTGCAAATACTATTGCAACTTTATATTATTCTGATTGAATTTTTATTCTAAAATATTATAATGAATACTTCATTAAGTAAAAAACGTACATTGTTAGATTAGGTGTCATCAATAATATAATAAGAAATAGCTGGCTTATGAAAGCAGCAATCCTTTTGAATCTATATATAGCTTCAATTATCTTGTAAATAAATCTGATTATGAAAATGATAAGTGGGTTTATAATAATGAATAAACAAATGAAAAGAATTTCTTTGTTTAACATTTACAATTCAAGTATTGTTAAAGTTAAAAATAAATTGAATTAAGAGAGTACTTCTAAAATTCGATAGCTAAGCAGAATACTTTTGTCTCTATAATTAAATAGCGAAAAAGTTTAATGAATTTACTAAAATAATAATTCAATTTTACCTTTAATTTTTCTTTGAACATTTTAAAATTACCTTAATATATATAATTTTTATTCTGCAAGATTTCCGGTTGACTGAAATTTCTTTGTTCAGTATCAGACCTCTCATACTCTTCTTTGTAATCTTTACAGATATAAACTATATAAACAGTTATAAATATGAATGATATAGAGCTAGTAGAGATTTGTAAAACCAATTGATTATCAGTAGTGGAATCAATATCAAGATCAGATATTTAATTTACAGTATTGTTTAAGTTTGCTAGACTAAAATTTGTAGAGGTTAGAAGGAAAATATCTCCAAATTTATTACATTCGCAAATAAGCTCTATATTATCGTTATTATGTACTCTATTGAGATTACACTAATGAATTTTTCCAGAAATTGTTCTAATTACACATTAAATTTAGTATTCAAATACAAATTATGTAGTATCTGAGCAAACTTAATAAGATCCAAATTTTGTGCCATAAAAAGATGAAAAATTTTCAAATGATATGAATCTATTCTGATAAGAATTTTTCAATTATATTAGGTAATAATTCTATGAATATATTTGCAAAGTTGAGTCATTAAATTAAAATTAAAGTAAATCTTAGAGATCTGATGTGAATCTTAAAGGATTTGTTTTAAAACAACTAGATTCAAATTAAATATAATCTACAAGAAAATCTTCTTCGGCTGGCTTAATATTAAAATATTGATTGAAAACTGATTTTGTTCTTCTTTTTATTTCCCAAATAATCTCATTTCCATTAATAACAAGAGGGTTTTGGTTAACTAAAACTGTATTTTAGGTCTCCTCTGAAATTAAGGAAATGAATTGTTACAATTCATTAATAGCTTAATAGAGAATTTCATTTTTTATATTTATTGATGAATAATTTGAATAAATTAAATCTACTTAGTATATTAAACCTCTTAAGCAATCTTACGAGATTTAATATTATTAAAAGATTTATTCATTCCATGTGTATTAATCTTATTAAAGCTCCTCTTAAAGATTTTTTTTTAGTTTCCTAAAATATTGTAGGGTAGTATTTAAATTTTGAGTATTTTCTTTTATGTTCGATATTTTATTTGTTAAATTAACTTCTGAGTCAGTATTTGAATTTTATGTAATAAATAAACGATTTGAGTTAATATCAAAGCATTTTTCATCTTGTAAATTTGTCAAACGCCTTCTCTAAACAGATTAAATTAAGAATTGTTTATATAGTTTTTAAGCCTTAAATTTCAAGATATTTTCATTCTAATCTGCTAAAATGGATTATTAAAGTAAATTAAGATAAATTTAAGAATGTAGTTCGTTGCATTTTTAATTCATTGCTTCAAATAGCAGTGATATCGTATTTTATAAATTTAAATTCTAAAATTAAATTGAGGAACAATTTAATTTTGCAAATTATACAGTGATATATTAAAAAATTTGAGTCATTGATCCTCCAGTATCAAGCACTTAAACTAAAATACCAATTTTTGAAGAGTCAATAGAAGTGGGAGTTTAAATTTAAAACTAATTTTAAGTCTAAAATGGATAAAGAATTAAGGAATTATCCGAAGATCCTTTTAAAAAATCATTTAAGTCTGATTCTCTTAAAAATAGCCTAAGTTAATATTTATAAGGAGAATCATTTGATTGATCGCAACTACTTGTTACTACAAAATCAGTTAAGGCTATAGTATTTGAACTATTTATAAATAATTTAGAACATTAAGGAGGCTAATTGATAGATAGTTTTAAATTATTTATGCTTGGCATAATATTATTTGTGTATTAAGCTGCAAATTTAATATTTATCTCGTCACCAAAATTTAATTCCTTAATGCTATTAAATATCTAAAATTAATGAGATATGAATTTTGGTTGCAGTATTTCGATTATCTCAAAGTTATAAACAATTGCAATTGATAGATCTAACAGATATGGTTTTTAAACAAAAGGAACTAGAAATGTAAAATTTAGTTATTCATAATTATTAATTTTTCTCATTAAATAGCCTTTATTGAATTCTAGATTTAGGGTAGGGAAATCATCTTCAAGGTAAACAATATTCTACGAAAATCTTTTACTTTATTCAAATTTTGTAGCAGTGACAGACCATTCTTAAACTGAAAAAGTAGCAATTTAATTCCTCCTAATGAATTATAATTTAGCAGTCTTATTAACATTAATGTTTTGCTTTTGTTAGTTTGAGCATGAACTATTTTTTTACAGATCTTTACAAGCAACTTAAATTGATAAATCTGGATCACTGTTCCAATCAAATATTGTGTCTAAGTCCTTACATTCTATTAGGAGATTCAAATCTTTTCTTATATTTTAAATCCCTGAATTGTTAAAATAACAAATTAAACCACCAAGCGGAATAGTAATAGTAAAATTTTAATATTGGATTTGGTTAGTATTTATATTGGTAGCTGTCACTGAAAATGTATATGTTGAATTAGGGCTCAAAGTATATTTAGGAATAGTAATATTGATCATTTCAAATGAAGTAGTTTAACTTGAAGTATTTAAATGTGAAGAAATTGATTTTTTTGGATATCTGTCTATTTCATTAAGTTAAATATAATATTTAGAATCAACCTTTGAAATTGATTCATCTAAATTACCAGCAGAAACCCCAATTATAATAGTCTAATAAATAAAATAGGAAGGTTTTGCATTAATATTTATATGTGGAAGAGTTCCTGAATGAGTGTATATTGTAAATTCTGTTTAAGAGTTGATATGTATGAAATTTTCATATTAGATCTTAAAATTTAGTTCTGCATCTTTTGGTAAAGTATATTTAGGTATTAATAAATTATATTCTTAAATAAAATTAGTTTAATCTAAAAATTAGCTAAGAGCTTAACTATCTTCATTTGATTTTACTTGACAACTCCAAATAATATTATCTAATTTTCTATTTCCATTGTTATTGATTGATTTTAAATACACTGAATTATCTGATAAAGGATTTAGTTTATGTAAAGGTACATGATATGAAATTTATGGAGGAAGTGGGTTTATTGGTATTTATAATATATTGAAGATAAAGGTTTTTAAAGTAGTTTCACAATTAATATGAGATAAGGTATTAGTTTAAAATAAGATCTATTGACCAACTTATATTTTCGAGTTATCTCCTAATAAGATTAATAATTCATAATTATCTTCTGGGTTGAGGTAGCAAACAGAATTTTAACCAAAGCTTTTTACAGATTCTACTTCAAAAATTTACAAACATTTATTCATTTAGATTTATGAACTGAGCCCCTTCGAATTTAAAGGAAAATCAAAATGAATAATAATCTTACTCAGGTCATCTGATAAATATGTCTTAATAACAGCAACTTCACAAGCTAATTGTTTATTTGAAAAATATACTTGAACACCAAGGTGTACTATCATACCAAATTGAATTTGGTGGAGGAACACAATTCATATCTTCATTTAATAATCTATTGGCAAAGCAAGATAAGCATCCCTTAATATTGCATTCTAAACAGGTACTATCACATTTTTAACAATCTTCATTTATTTGGTCATCAAAATATCCAAATTAACAAGTGCATTTAGGCTCTTGATATCTATTACCTTTACAAGTGTTGCAATTTGAAGGATCTTATTCACAAGTAGCACATTAAAATGCACATTCTATATAATCTTAAATAATTTATTACATGCGCATAAAGTTAATCCAATTTCAAAATATCCATCAATGCATTTACAATCCTTTTCAATTCTTCCTGGATTGCAACTTAAACAGTTTGATGGTTACAATATACATGTATTACATTGAGAATCACAAACTTGTTTTAAACAAAAATTTACTTTGACAAAAGAATTACTCATCTTCATAATATCCATCTTTGCAATTACATGTTGGTGGATTAATTCGTAAAATATTCTAGCAGATTTGACAATTTTCTGCTTCAGTTTAACAGGACTTACATTTAAAATTACATTATTAGCATTAAAGTTATATTCCGTCGTCATAATAACCTTCTTTACAATTACATTAATCTGATAAAGACTTTCGATTTGAATTTAATTAAAAGTTACAACTTAAGCATTAGTCATTATTATTTATGCAAGTCTAACATTTTATATGACATTCTATTAATTTAATTCTAGAAATTACTTAAACAAATTTAATTCTGATCTTAATAAAATCCAGAAATACAAGGACATTTATGGATAATAGATTAATCAATTCTTTTAGAATTTGTATCACAACTGGTACAATAATCAGCAGAACCTTAACAGGTTAAACATTCATTAGAGCATTCTAAAAATCAATTAAAATTTATTACTTTAACACACTTCAGTATTTGATTCATAATAACCAGGCTTACATAAACATTTATCTCCTGATTAATATCTGTAATGTTCAACTTCAAAACATGATAAACAGGATGAAGCAGAGGATTTGCAGGTCTTACAAATAATATTGCATTTTTAACAAAATTCAATTCCTGCATCATAATAGCCATCCATACACAAACATTGATTATTTATTAATATTCTTTTGCATATACTATAACAACTTATACAATTTGTATTCAAATGTTCACAAGTACTACATGAAATATGACATTCTAAAAGGATTTAAAATTTAAATACATTGGCAATTTTATTAATTTGTTTCATAATATCCATCATTACATAAGCACTTCTTTTAATCTGCATCATAATGCCGTGTAGTCAATCTGCATTATGTACATTCACTACTATTTTAGCATTCAAGGCAAGTAATATTACATTCTATTTATTTATATAATAAATTACATTCACATTTTTTAGTCAAAGGATCAAAAAAATAAGATTATGTACATATGCATGTATTATTGACTAAAGATAAATTAAGACTAGAATCGCAACTTGTACAATTATCATATAATATAGAACAAGTCAAACATTAACTTGAACATATTTCACAATTCAAAGTAACTGGATCTTCAAAATATCCTTGTTTACATTCGCAAGTATTTCCAATGGTAAATTATCTAAAATTTTCAATTGAACATGTTAAACAATAAGAATGAGAATTCACACAAGTTAAACAAGATTTATCACATAATTTACATAATTTATCAAAACTTGATTCATACATTCCTTCATTACAAATACAATCATTATTTTTCAAATATCGAAATTATACACAAGAAGTACATTTATTTATTGATTAAGCACAAGTTTTACAAGTTAAATAACATTATTCACAGATTCCATTAATTTCAATATGACCTATTTAGCAATCGCAAGTTTATGTTTTTAAGTTAAGTTCCCTAAATTAATTAGAGTCGCATGATGTGCAATTTTTTGATGAAATTTCACATGTATGGCAATTTGAATTACATAATGAACAAATTTATAAGCCAACGTCATAATATCCTTATTAACATTTACAATTTGTTTCTATTTATCTTGTTTATGGACAAGATAAGCATTAATAGGATTGTTCAATGCAACTTAAACATTAAATATCACATTTTAAACATGAAGTTGAGGAACCATCATCATAATATCCAGATAAACATTTACAAGTATGATTATAAAATACTCTATTTGAAGTATTCATTTCTATACACGAATTACAGGAGTTAGCATTTCCAGAATAACAGCTTAAACAAGAGTAGTGACATTTTGAACAAATTTCAACTCCAGTATCATAATATCCAATATTACAATCACAGGAAAAAAGTAACTCATTATAAATCCTATTTGATTCAATTGAACATAATTCACATTTAGTTTCAATTTCATTGCATCTGAGACATGAATAATGACATTCTTAAAATTATAATTAAAATGATTACTTTAACAAACTTAGTTTGATCCATCATCATAATATCTTTGGATACATTAGCATTTATTAAAACCTGAAATAAATTGTCTGAAGCAATTATCAGGACAAGAAGTACAACTTTCAGATTACTTCGAGCATCCTTTACATTTATAATTGCATTCTATCAATCAAAATCTAATAATACTTTAACAAATAGGCAATCCTGCATCAAAATATCCTTCTTTACAGACACAAGTATTTCCTACTTATAATCTTTAATCAGTATCTACACAAGAAATGCAATCTTCTTCTTCAATTCCCCCGCATATTCCACATGAATAATGACAATCTTATTATTATTTGAGTTTTTACTTTAACATTTAACCATTCCATTATATTCAAATGTACTTATTGTTCCTCCATTTAATTTAGTGATGCATTTGCATTTACTATCAACTAAATACCTATCTTCATTGCATGAAGTACAATTATCAAAAGTGTTAATACATTCATAACAAAATGCACTACAAGCTATATTGTAGTTGTAAGATTATTACCAGCGCATTCCTAAACTTCCATTTCAAAGTAATGTGGTTAGCATTTGCATTACTTATCTTTAATTTCTCTATAGGCAAGAGAATCACAAGAGAGACAGTCATTCTCATCCTTTCCATCGCAAGATTTACATTTGAAATGGCATCCTTAGATATGTATGAAAATTACTTTAACACATAATTTCATCTTCTTTTTCATAATACTCTCCTGGACAACTACATCTTTTGGAAGAATCTAGTTATCTTAAAGAATTTTAAGGGCAACTCAAACATATGTTTGCTTGGTTTTCACAAGTTTCACATTTATATGAACATTCTAATAGATTATTCATATTTAGAATATTTACTTTTACACTAAGCAACTTCAGCCTCTTCATAATATCCCTCAATGCATTTGCAGAAATTGCCTTTTAATACTCTAAAATGCAGTTGAAGAGAACAAACAATACAACTTTCTAAAGTGCTATCAAAACATTAGTTACAAGAATAATGGCATTCTATTGTTTTATTTAAGTATAATTACTTGCACATTCTAATTATCCAACATCATAATATCCAATTGGACATATACAAGAAGATAAGTCCATTTATCTATAATTTGTATCACATGTTAGGCAATTTGATGAAAGAGGACCATTACATGTTAAACAATATTTATCACATTGTTGACATTCTAATGAAAATCCATCATCAAACATGTTATCATAAATACAAACGCATTAAAATTAACTACCTGATGAAGAAGGTTTTCTTGTTAAAGGACATTATACGCATGCATCTATTTAAGTGCTGTTTGCGCATGTTAAACATGAATAATGACACTCTATTAATAAATCTAATATTTTACTTTAGCATTCGATATTTTCTGTATTATCATCATAATATGATAATTTACATAAGCATTCTCCTGAAGGAGTCAATTCTCTAAAAGTGCTTTATTCACATTATATACAATTTGTGGATTCAGTACCATTACAACTTCCGCATGTATAATGACAAACTAAATATAATTGATTCAAGTACTTATACAAATATCTAAAGTGCCTTCAAGATCCCCATAACTAACTTAACAATCACAATTATAAGTTTCTGAAATTTCTCGATTCTATCCTGCTATGCATGTTAGACAATATTAATTTGAAGTTTCATCAGCTGCTTAGAAACATTTTTGACATCTTGGGTGACATTCTAAAATTAATTATTATTGATACTTCCACATTTTGATTGTTTATTAGCATAATCAGCATATCCAACTTTACATGGACAAGAATCATCAACTTTAATTCTATTTGAAATGCTTTCCTCTAAACATTCAGTACATTCTAAATTCGATGGACCAAAACAATTTATACAACTAATATCACAAGCTAAAATATCATTTAATAATTATACGGAGACATATCTAATCTTCGTTTTAAGGATCATAATAACCAGGTAAACAAATGCATCGTTAATTGATGAGGATTCTGTTTAATCCTACTTTACATGAAATACACGAATAAAAATCTTCCAGTTCGCATTATTGACAATAACCCTCTGTACAAAATGTGCAATTTCCTTGGTTTAAACCAGAATTTGGTAAACATTTGCAGATACCATTAACAGCAATTTTATTTTCTTTGCTATCGCAAGTAGTACAATAACTTGGATCTGTATCCAAAAAAGTGGAACATTATGGATCAATCTCTATCTTTGAACAATTACCATCTGGTTTTAATGCATATCCTGGCATACAAGCCATACAATTAATTCCTTAAGGATCGAATAAAATACAATTTTCTTTTCTCTATCTAACATCTAAAAAATTAATATATTAAATTTTACAATCACATTTGCTCTAACCATATTTTTAAACTCTTCCAGGTTTGCATAATTAACAATTGCTCTATTATTATTATAAAAAATTACAAAAGTTCTAATTCCATCTGAAAAAACCATAAAATTCATTGAATATCCCGAATGGCAATCCCAATCTAATTGAAAACATTATTCTAATATTAAAGTATATCCATAGACGCACTAACTACACTTGTAATAGGGATAATTCGTTGATTCTGAAACAACATTATAGCAAGGAAAATGACTTCCTATATAATATTGTTAGCATAATTACCTAAGCATGTAATAAATTATTAATTCCAAATATATCCAGGTATGCAATCTTGACTTTTTGTAATCACGTTCTGTGAATCTAAAGAACAAGTTTTAGATCCAGTACAATCTAAAAATTTTAATTTATGAACTACCAAGATCACATTAAGAGGAGGATTAATCTTTCTTTTTATATCCATCTTAACAAACATTACAGTATTATTCATTTTCACATTCTAGACAACGAGAATCACACTCTTTAATAATCATATTTAAATTACTTCTTGGAGGATTTGAAAATCTTCTATCATACCCAGTTTCAACCTATTCACACTTATATCCCCTGAATGGAGATTTACAAAATAGGCATGTTTGGGAACCTGACAAGTAAGCAACCATCAAACAATTTTTAAGCTAATTGCTTTCATAAACTAATATCTTAACTAGCAATACTATTAGAACAATAATATTTATAATGTCCATCTTGTAGCTATTCCATTACCAATGAAGTGCCTAATTTATATCCACAATGAACTGAATGTTTGTCTTTAGTTGTAGTCCCTATTTTAAACGGTTGATATCTTGGATGGCATAAATATTAAGTTCCATTTGATTGAACTCTTACTTCAACTTTTGTAACATCTTGGCAAATGGAAGCATAAGCTATGAATAACAATAATGATTACAAACACACTAATGTGGATGCATGTCAGGTACAAATGTATGTAAGTCAGGACAAAGATTTTCATCCGATCCAAACAAATATGTGTAAGAATATTCGTATGGCTCCTATCCTAATATTGCTTAGATAACTATTAATCTAATCAACCACATAATCTTATTTATTTTTATGATCACTAAATTAAAAAAATGTTTAAATATCACGGAGGTTTGGTCTCTTTTGAATATAAAAAAAATCATTCAAATTTTGAACAAAAAAAAATTTGTCGCCAACAAAGAGATGGAATAGTGCAAATTTAATCAAATTAATTACAAGATACATTTCAAAATATAGAATATTAACTATCTAAATATGAATATAAAATAGTTAATTTTATAATCAGATTGATCAATAATATTATATGATAAGATGTTCCTTCTAATTTAATATATTTTATTTAGTATCCTTTATGATGGAATAATACTTATTATCGTATTAGATATATTTGAATTGTAATTTTTTATTTTGTTTCTCTAAATACTTGATTAATATTATGATTAACAAAGATTTCAGGTTCCATTAAGCATTTACTAATATATTCATCAGAGCCCTGATCTAAATGTGATTCACTATTTAAATAGAGATACAAAATCTCTAAGTTTATAATCTAAACTCCTAATTATAATTATTATTTAAGCAACTCTTTGAGAATTCAATATAATGAATACTGTTAAATTACTCTCTTAAAATAACTAGAATTCCATCACTTAGGTTTTATCATAAGAAATTATAAAATTTAATCTCCTCTAATACTCAATAATAAGCATGCATCTCAGTCATTAACATTGAGAGGAAAAAGTTAAGAAAATCCTATATTAATAAAAAATTAATTTTATTAAAGGGCTAATCTTTATTTTTCTAAATATATTTAGTAATCAAGTACCTCTTTGAAGATTTCATCAGCCCAAGAGTCTTTCGTTAATGATCCTTCAAGCATTCATAACTAACACTAACCATCAAGAAATCTATGACTCCTCTCTTTATTAATCAAGATAAATTATCTTTCTCAAAACAACCTTACAGAAGGTGTTTTCTATTGTATCAATTATCTCCAAATCTTTTACAGTTAAGTTGGATATATTGGAGATATCTCTTATTTCCTTAAAACTGCAATTGGATTTTCAGATTGATCCAGTTTCTGATAAAATGATGGAACTAGAGGAGCTATCAAATTTACAGTTTCTAATATTCAACAATCAAGAGTTAATCTATCTTTATCTTTCTCTAATATCATTTATACCCATTCTCTTACATGCATAACTTAAAAGATCTTCGATGATTTAATTCTAGATTTATCATTACAAGAATTAATCTTTTTTCATTTAAAGGTTCAAATTGCTCCTCGATTACAATGGGTACTCTAAGGAAATTACATTGATTTTCATCCAGTGAATTCATGGATCTACTTTTGAATAAAAATTATTATCGTAATTTTAATTTTCCCATTCCTATATATATTTGAAATATAATCAATGACCTACAAATTACACCAAATAATAAAATCCCCTTAAGCAATGATAAAATCCAAAATTTTCAATTACTTAAAATTATTTGTGAAAAAATCAATTACTTTTTAGGACATAATTTACTACTTACAACAATCTATGTCTTGAAGATTCTGTTTATTTTCAGAATTAGGCTTAATCAACACTTAAAATTATTTAAACAGATAAGTTTAGTAATCCTATGTTTATCACAAAATATTACTGATTATCGATAAAATTATAATCGATAATGTTAGCATTATTTATTTACATTTTAAGGAATAAAAAAATAAGTTTCTGTAAAAATTAGTTGAACAAAGCCCTTTTTGGAACTAACCTACAGGGAAACAGGGCCCTTGAAAAACTTGAAAGATTAAAATAGCTCTTATACTATTATATTCGACCTATTAAAGGCCTCCGACTTGGATAACTATATAACATAATTTATGTAGCACTTGTTCTGTTAGCTCTAAGGAGGATGAAATATGTGTGAGGAGGGAGATGACCCTGTGACATATTTAGTTGAGGAAAAGATTTAGGTGAATATTGAATGCGGTTATGTTTCATCCATTTGATGAAAATGAATTAGAAGAATTTGAAAATTAATTTTCTATATTACTTCTTGTAATAACTGATAAAGAGAGATTTTATGATTAATAGATACGACTGTGTAAGATGAAGATGAACAATGTCTAAGGCTTTCAGTCTAAAATGAGGATAATTTTCTGATAATCAAAGTTTAGTTATCGTATGACTGCTGCTAACTGAAATCTAGAATTGATTGTGAAGTCCTACATTAAGTAACTTCGAGGATAGAATGGATGGAAAGCATTCTATCAAGTAAATTTGATAATTAAGGTTATGAGGCTAATTAAATGGATGAGATTAAACTTGATTTAGAAATTGAACTCCAATTCTAAATAATTGGATTGTGTGAATTACAAAGTTTGGACTATGTTATACGCACGCTGTATACCCTGTAATTATCTTAAAAGTAAAGGAAGAAACTTGAATTAGAGTGAATAGCTTTTAAGTTAAATATTTGATTGGGTATTCTGAACTAAAACTTTTTTGTTTCAGTCCATAACTAATGTGTTAAAAGGATTCTGATGTCAAATAAGAATTTCTCCCGTAATGATAAATATATACTAAAATAAATGATTATTAAATTATAAAGAATTTTTTGCTTCAAATACTTGTTAATTTTAAACCTTGAATAGATGATTTTATATTTCTTATAGATCTTGATTTCCTCAAACTATTAATCCAAATACATTGTATATTCTCAAACATTTCAACTAAATTAAAATTATGAAATTAAATTGAATTCATTATATGGGAGAACAACATAAATAATATTATATAATAAAAGGTAAAAATTACATTTATGTATTTATTAAATCAATAATAATTTTTTAAATATTATGGCTAATCAGGGTATAGAACCAGGATACATCTTGCTAAGAATTAACTATTTCCTCTTAAATATTGAAAAATTATTGTTTATATAATTTTATTCCAGTTTCCTTACTTAAATTCAAATCTTTGATAAAATTTTTCTATTACAATTTATTATATTCAAATATAGAAAATTCAAATTTATTTGATAATAAATAGATAGTATTGTCAAATAAATGAATATATATTAGCAGTTAAATATAATATTAAAATCAAATGGAAAGTATTTGGATTAATAAATCATCATCTCCAAGCAGTATTTTTCTTTTTAATTTTGACAGAAAATCTAAATTATGATCAGAAATATTAGGAATCTTTGTTTTGTTATCAATTTTTGATTCATAAATAAGAGCCTTGCAGCATTTAATTACTAATTAATAAATCTCTTGAAATAAGGAAACGGTAGTATTAATAAGATTTTCCTCTTTTATTTTTAATAATGTAAAGCAGAAGTTATTATAGCGATGCATGCATATATCAATATAAAAATAAAAAACTTATAATAACTTACATATGATATTTTGAAATAATGGATCTATCTCATTTTTAATCTGAAAGCTTTAATTCTTTAAGAGTACCTTTAAGGTACTAATTGCTATTAATCATTCAAATATTTAGATTTTAAATGTAAAATATATCATTAAAAATAGAAGTTAAATATAGCAAATTAATGGACATTATTAGTTGTTTTTGGGATTTATTCAACTTCCCATTAGTGAATACATATTCGAATATGTTATATTTATGATTTTATTGATTATTTATGTTATTCAGTTGTGGAGTTTAATAGTTTTTGTCGTGTAGAATGTCCATGATGAAGTGATTTCTCAGAATAATTTAGTAACTGTGGACAGAAGAACCCATGACTAATAATGAGCCTATCTGGATTAAAAATCGTGGCTTTTTTATTTTTTTCTGTTAAGATATTTTCTTTTTATCATTAATCTTAATATAATTTAATTAAAACATCAAACTTTAACTTAAATTTTTATTATATTAATTATCCCATCATTTATACTTTTATTAAATCCTTTATATTTTCATAGTCCCATTTAACTTTTCTATTAAAAATTTATAGATATTAATAATTACATGATTTTAAAACTATAAAAATCATTGAAAATATTTCAGAAATAAAATATATTGTAGAGGAATACTAAATAAAAATAAATTAGGAGATATTAAAAATTAAATCTTAAATAATTCATATTTCTTATTTCTAATGAATTATTTTAACTTTTCAGTTGGATAAATTCGTGTTATTATTAAAATACCATAATAATAAAATAAATAGATTTGCTATTAGAAGATCTTAATATTTTCTTTAAAATCTCAAATTAATAACAAAAGTGTGGATTATCCAGAATTAGATAGTAGAATGAAATCTAATTTAAATATCTTTTATCCAATAATCAAAATAAAAAACAATACTTATCAGTATCTAAGGAGCTTTGAGGATCTTAAGAATACTATTGTGATTAAGTAGAGTCGAAAATTTTATTTCATTTTAAAATGGTCTTAGCTGTGAACAACAGATCATTATACCAATTAATTTGAATTGTTTTTAACAAGAATTTACAAATATTTTGAATGAATGTAGTCTGCTTATGAAATGTAATAATTTAAATAACAAAATATACTTTTACAAGATCTTACATTTGGAAATAGCTTTAAAGAGGTATAAAATTAATAGTTCAATTTAGTTTGAAAATCATGATTTCTATTTGTCAGCCAATTCAATGCTAATAAAGACAATCTAAGTTTAAAACCACAAATATGCATAATTTATGGAAATTTTATAATATAGTGAGAATATATATTCTACAATCTCAATTTGTATATATAACTAAAAACAGAATGGAAAATAAATTTCTTATTTAAATATAAAATAATATTTTCTTTCTATTTTTTCATTAAAATAAGTCTCATTCAAATATAGATTAATATTCATTCAAAATTGGTCAATTTTTTATTTTTTTATTTTATTTGATTAATTACCAAAAGATATTTCCACTTTTCTATAACTAAACTTTTATTGAAAATAAATAACCAAAAATAATTCAAACCAATCATGTTAAGAAAAAAAATAATTCTATAAAACCCCTATTAAAATTGAGTCAAAGTTAAAAGCAATTAATAGTAAATTAATTTCAAATTAATAATTGAATGATTACCATCTGTGAATTTTAAATAGTCATATACCCTGAACATATAATTAATATAATCCACATCTTATATTAATTGATAAAATTTTGATTTTCTAAGTATTATTAATTTGTAACTATTTGAAAAAGGTTTAGAAGATTTTTCATGAAATAAATATAGGTGGGATTTTAACTGAAAAATCAAATGGGTAAATCAAATTATGCTTATGATTTAGGTTTTAGAAAATATGACACTAATTCTATTTAAGTATTCTAAAGTTGAAGAATAATTAATCATTATCATGAGATGAACATTCCATAAAAAATTATTTTTTTTAAATTGCTCTGATCATGTGAAATTGTCGATAAATAAAATTTATATATTTCTTGTTTAACTTCGAATGTTAATTATAAGTATTGGAAAATCGGTAAAGTAATGATGGTTGATGATAATTTCATTTTTCAAACAGGATCCAAGTTAGATAAATTGTATAATTTCATTTGTAAATATAAAAATTTATTTAATAAGTTAAATTCAATAAAAATAAAATAAATGTTAGTGTTTTTATCTATTAATATAGATGTAAATCCCATTTTTTAAAAAGTCTTATAGTACATTTGGATTAGATCATTTTTTAAAAAAGAAAATCTATCTATTTAATAATAGGATAAGAAGAAAAAAATATTCACTAAATAAAAGAGCATTTGAATTAGCTTTTTAATAAAAATAGCTTATGATCAATCTAAATAAGAAAATAAATATATCACCCAAATACCATTTGCCAAAAATTAAATTAACTATTAAATAGGTAGAATAAATTTCACCCAAAGAACTATTGAATAACAATCATGTACTAGTTTTGATAACTCAAAGTAATAAACTAATAATTTGCCTTCATAATAATATTGAAAATAATTCAAATTTGAATATATTTTCTATCTATTATTATCTTCTCTAAAATATTGAGAGAAAAATTACACATATTTCTGGGTTTGTAATTTAAAAAATAATTAAACAATTCTAATATTTAATCGTATAATAAAAACAAGAAAACAAAATAAGCAAATATAAATCTAATGACAGAGTTTATTTTTTAAAAGCTTAATAGAGAGATCGTATTAATAGTTCGTGAATTACAAATTTTTTATTGAATTATGTTAATAATTGTACAATACTATTAGATATTCCATATCTTAATTTATAATAATAGTTTTTTAATTTCATTCCTTTCACTTAAACCTCATAGAATGGGTATTATTATGGAATCATAAAAAGTAATATCAATATTGAGTTCATCATCTTCTCATTTAAAAACTACATTATGCCTTGATTAAATAATATCTCTTTTTCATCAAAAATTCTCTCACGACTTGTACAATAGTTAATACGCTTCAACATTCATCTAAATTATAAATATAATAACATTTCAGTCAATATCTATCAAAATTACTAGTATATTTTATAATATTCTTTTAATTGATTCATTTATTACAGAATTGCTTTTATTATAATATCTTTCAACTATTTACTATCCAAAATCAAATGACAAAGGGATTACATCTATAAATAGATCATAAACTAAAATAGATCCTGGAAATGAAGTAAACATCTCCTAATTTAATTTAGCCAATCTTAAACTTCTATATATTTTATTTCTTGTTTTTACATTACAGCAAATAATGAGATTCTTAATAAAGTTGATCATGAATATTCTTATCATTCATCTAACTTTTTTTGAGCTCTTAAAAAATGTATTTGCAATCCAAAAATTTGTAATTTATGCTAGCTCAAATTTTTGCTGTTTCTGCTTATTTAGAAGTACAATTTAATCGATTAAGGAGTAATTTCTGCTACAACTTAATTTGCAAAATTCAAGACTACAAACCTCTTTTATGATATAGAGTTAAAAGCAGAAGTAATTCTTATTTTTTTTTTGGAAACTTGATAAAGAATTAATATTTGATAGATTTTAATAAAGAGTTTATTTACTTGTTTATAATTGTCTTCGTTTTTTGATTATTTATATTAACAAGCTGAATTTAATTGTTGGATTAAACTCTAATTTGTAAAGAAAATAAAAAAATTTATTAAAAAACAAATATCCTAAGAATGCCTTATATGGAAACATCAATATTATACTTCAACATAATAGCTTATCTATTAGATTTTGTCATCATTTTATTATTTATCATGATTACTTTTATATATTTTATTTATAAAATAGATCTATAAATTATCTTATCCCCAAAAAAAATCAACCTTAAAAGCATTTATGATAATTTTAATTATTTATGTAAAAAAATAACAAAATTCTTTAATTAATTTTGCTACTAGAGTAGAGTGAATATTGAAATGCAATTTAATCCACACTTTAAAATACCATGCTTGATAAAATGGTTTAATTAAAATTATCTTAATTTTCCTTAGAATACCTATGCTATATCTTTAGATAATTAGATAGTAGACTTATCTTAAATAACCAATATTATTTGATTCCATCTAGTTTGAAGGTGAAATTTTAAAAAGATAAAGGAATTTATTAAGTTTAAATTCAAATCTTAATTAATTAATATCTTTGACTTTTTTCACTTATAACATTTTGTTTTGGATTCGCTTAAACAAGTATAAGAATTAGTTTAATTTTATTAAGGCATCTTACTAACAATACAAAGTTGAGTATTATTATTTAAATGTAACCTTTTATGATTGTAACAATTAGGATATTCATTTGAAATTGAAATATAATGTTATCTTATTTAAGATAGGTCTGTAATTTAAAATGATTTAACAATGGGAATTTCAGTTTATTTTTTGTCTCATCAGATTCATTACTCTAAAGAAAAAATTTTTATATTCAAAAATTTATAAATTAATGTACTTTGAGAGTTATTAACAGATTTAAATTAATATGAATGTTTATGAATGTAATATAGTTTAATACAATAATAAATTATTAAAACAAAATGAAATTATTGACAATTTAAAATTAAAGTACTCTCCTTAAAATTATGCCAGTAGTTTTGGTTCACTCTATCTTTTTTAAAAATATTAGAGGGTATCACTTAGCATTTATTATAGGGTACAATCCTTAGATTAGTGGTTAAGGTCTCATTATTTTATCAATTTTAATTTCAAAGTAAATGTAGAGTAAATGTTCACTTTTTCCCTAATTTTTTTTTAACACTTTTTTGAAATAATTTAATGGAAATTTTTTTTTTTCTAAAGATAACACCATAACACAAAAAAACCACCATCATCGTGTTTTATAAGATATTGAGTAAAACACACACATAATATTTATCTATTAAGGCCAGTACAATCCTAAACAGAGCCAGCAACACTTTAGGTTTGCATATCTTCTTTTATCACATAAGTGTGGAGACAAAAGTCATGTCTCCAAAAAGAATAACTTTCATCAGGGGTGATGAATGGTTATATTTATATGGATTAATTTATTTTTAAAAACCCAGAATTCATTGAAAGAGAAGTGAGATGGAAAGAACAAATTGAAGAGTTGGAAGCTAAAAAAATTGACCTTAATAAGGAAGAAATGAATCCCCTAAAAGTGTTAAAAAGGTCTAACTTCCTTCAGATTCGACGAATCCCATGGTAATTTGAACTATGGCCAGTGGAGAAAATTTATAGAATACAACCTTTATGTAACTCTCGATCATTTAAAAGATCACCTTTCCTCACACAGAGGTAATTGGGTCGGAAAGATTGAGAAAATTTGGATTATACTCAATATACCACCTTGAAACTCTAAAGAAAGTGCAGAAAAGAATGACTCTTCAAATGAGTGACGTAGCAAAATTCATCAAAAAGATGATAAACAATGATTGTGAGGCCTATCAACCTAAAGCCTTTCAAATTCCAGTTTGAAACATAAATTTACATATTATTATTATTAGAAAAATTCTTCTTCGATTTCTTAAATAACTAGTTTTTAATTATTCAAACTATTTTATGTAAATTTAAAGAGGACAATTTTATTCATCATTCATTATGTTGCAAATTTTAAAAGTATATCATAAGTTGAAATTCTGTTTAGCTAAAATACTATTATATGTATTCTTCAATGCTACTTTGGATAGGTAAGTATACACATTGAGCTTAAGTTAATCAGTAATAAAGATCGTTGAATGGTTATTTCTTCTAATTTTAATATAAATGAGCAAAATCATTTGTCCAAATTTTTAATCCTTTCAAGATTTATATTATCTTTTTTATTATCATTTTTATTAAATAATATAAAAGTAGTTGTTTCTATCTTTCCTATTTATAAATATTATAACTTTTCATACCAATCCATTCTTAAAATAATACATAAAATAAATTTATCAAAACAACTTTGATGATTTAATAAAAATGCCGTTGCGTTAAGTTACTTTTTATTTTCTTAAAATAATTATTTACACCTTCTTTTGGACTCTATGTTGTGCTCAATTTTGTTCATTATAATATCTGTAGAGTATTTATTGAATTTAGTATCATTTAATAACAAATCTCTATAAATATTCACTGATAAAAGTTATTATAACACTTCAATAATTCTTCACCGCCTACACTAGATTGACAATTATATTTTAAAAAAATTGAAAAAGACTTTGGAAAAAAACTTAATTATCTATTTAAGAATTGAAGATGATGAGCTGAGTTGATAAAGGCATAATTAAAAATTAATAGAATTGATTAAAATTTTAATTGTTGTTTATAATAATCAAATTCACTTTTACTCTAAAATACAACTTCCTTTTGATTTAAATAATGATCTTAAATTGTATCCCTAATAACTTACAAAATTTCCTTTTAAGATTAAAGCTCCTTATGCTTAAAATAATGCTGTTTGAGATATTCTGAGAATTGTAATGCTATTTGATACTAATAATAAATAATATATATACATGATAGAGGATTTTCTTGAAATAAGGGTCCTATAAATTATGAAAGAATATTTTTATAATTTTTGTCAGCGGAGGATATTTCATTTCCATTCTAAATATCCCATAGATGAATAGAGTAATCGAAACTACTTGAAGCTAATGTATTTCCATCAGGAGAGAAACATACTGACATGATTCTATTAAAATGACCATCTAATTTTCCTTTTTATGATCCTGTTTTTACATCCCATAGACGGATAGATTTATCATGACTACCAGAAACTAATGTATTTCCATCAGGAGAAAAACAGACTGACTAAATACAATGATTATGACCATTCAATTTGGCTGTTTATTATCCTGTTTTGACATCCCAGAGTAGGATAGAGTAATCAAAACATCCAGAAGCTAATAGATTTCCATCAGGAGAGAAGCAGACTGACTTAACATAAAAAGTATGACCATCCAATTTGGCTTTTTATTATCCTGTTTTTACATCCCATAGACGGATAGAATTATCATTACTACCAGAGGCTAATGTATTTCCATCAGGAGAGAAACAGACTGACATAACACAATTAGTATGACCATCTAATTTGGCTTGTTATTTACCTGTTATTACATCCCATAGATGGATAGAGTTATCATCACTACCAAAAACTAATGTATTTCCATCAGGAGAGAAACAAACTGAAAAGATAGTGTAATTATGACCATCCAATTTGGCTTTTTATTATCCTGTTTATACATCCCATAGACGGATAGTCATATCATCACTACCAGAAGCTAATGTATTTCCATCAGGAGAGAAACATACAGAGCTGACAGCACTATCATGACCATCCAATTAGGCTTTCTATTATCCTGTTTTGACATCCCATAAAAGGATAGAGCTATCACAACATCCAGAAGCTAATAGATTTCCATCAGGAGAGAAGCAGACTGACATAACATAAAAAGTATGACCATCTAATTTGGCTTGTTATTTACCTGTTATTACATCCCATAGATGGATAGACTTATCATTACTACCAGAGGCTAATGTATTTCCATCAGGAGAGAAACATACAGAGTTGACACCACTATGATGGCCATCCAATTAGGCTTTCTATTATCCTGTTTTGATATCCCATAGAAGGATAAAGTTATCATCACTACCAGAGGCTAATGTATTTCCATCAGGAGAGAAACAGACTGACATAACACAATTAGTATGACCATCTAATTTGGCTTGTTATTATCCTGTTATTACATCCCATTAATATATATACCCATAATTACCACCTGAGACTAATTTATTTCCATCAGGAGAGAAACAAACTGAAAAGACAGTGTAATTATGACCATCCAATTTGGCTTTTTATTATCCTGTTTTTACATCCCATAGACGGATAGACTTATCATCACTACCAGAAGCTAATGTATTTCCATCAGGAGAGAAACATACAGAGTTGACACCACTATCATGACCATCCAATTAGGCTTTCTATTATTCTGTTTTGATATCCCATAGAAGGATACAATTATCCCAACTACCAGAAGCTAAAACATTTCCACTAGGAGAGAAGCAGACTGAACGAACATCATTGGTATGACCATCTAATTTGACTATCTTTTTTCTTGTTTTTACATCCCATAGAACAATAGAGTTATCATCACTACCAGAAGCTAATGTATTTCCATCAGGAGAGAAACAAACTGAAAAGATAGTGTAATTATGACCATCCAATCTGGCTTTTTATAATCCTGTTTTTACATCCCATAGACGGATAGACTTATCATTACTACCAGAAACTAAAGTATTTCCATCAGGAGAAAAACAGACAGATTAAACATAATCACTATGAGCATTTAATTTATTTAATTCATGGATTCTCAAGTTTATCCATTTACAATTCATTAATATTGCTCTATTCAAATTCATTCCACTAATGTTAACATTATTAAATTCAGATCCACTAAAATTACATCGAGCAAAATTAGCTCCTACTAAAGAAGTATTTTAGATCTTAATATTTAAAAAATTTTTGTTTCTAAGGTCTACCTTAATCAAAACTAATATATATAATGAATTAGACCCACATTATATCATATTCTAATCTATGGATGTGAGGTGAACTAAAAATTCCAAAAATTTGATGATCTTTATTTTATTCCTGCAACTTTTAATCAGATTTTGCATAAAATCTTCATATACTTGATTTGAATAGTCTAACTTATAGAAGCCATGATCTTTTATTTTTTTTAAAACATTAGTAGTTTGTTTGATGTTCTTTCTAACATCATACAATTGTTATCCATTTTCAACTTGCATTAAATTCTCTACTTTTTGTAAGATTTATTATTCTAAATGTGTTTGATTCCCAAGATCTAAAAGATATCCTATGCAATCTTAAACTTTTTCCTTGCGAAATATTTTTAATATGACATCAAATATTTGTTCATCTACATCTTTAACTTAAGTAAAAATTTCAGCTAGAGCTTCCTTCTCTTAAAAAGTGCAATACATTTTTATATTTATTTTAATATTAAACTTCTCTTAACATAAATTTTAAGTTATATACTGCTAAATCGATAAAATTATCTTATTTATTTTTGTAAAAAAGAAGTTCAGACATTGTGTAGATTTGGAATTAATTAAAATAGAGCGTAAGGAGAATTCTATTCTAAAGTTGATTGGCTTTATTTTTAAGAAATAGAATAGATAATTTTTATATGAATAAATTAATTTATACTAAAATTGAGTTATATGATTGATTAATTTAT